AAACAACCGAGTCATTTATTTTCTTATATCTCAAGGTTGTTCAAATATTACTACTGGTTCTTCTTCTCACTTACGTTTTGTTTGCTTGAAATCATTTGTTAGCAAGAGAAGATGGAAACAGCTCTTGAGGTATACAATGACACTGAGATGAGATCACCAGAAACACAACCGATCAAACGCCGCAAGAAGAAGTCAAAGGTGTGGGATTACTTCACAATCGAGAACGTGCAACCTGATTGCAGAAGGGCTTTCTGCAAAGGCTGTAATCAGAGCTTTGCTTACAGCAACGGAACAAAAGTGGCTGGCACTAGCCACCTTAAGCGCCACATTGACAAGGGGACTTGTCCTGCAATTGTCCACCCCCAGGACAATGACAACAACCAACCCATGACTCCCTACACTCCCAAGAGTGACACCCCCAGAAGGCGTTACCGAACTCAGACCAATTCTACCTATGTTGCGTTTGATCAGGACAAGTGTCGCCATGAGATCGCGAAGATGATCATTATGCATGACTACCCCCTTCACATGGTTGAGCATCCAGGGTTCATCTCCTTCGTGCACAGTCTTCAGCCTCACTTCGACACTGTCAGCTTCAACAATGTTCAAGGAGACTGTGTCGCCACTTACCTTGCAGAAAAGCAGAATGTCATCAAGTCTTTAGAAGGAATTCCCGGACGCTTCTGTCTGACGCTGGACTTCTGGACTTCAAAGCTCAATCTAGGGTATGTCTTTATAACTGGCCACTTCATTGACAGCGACTGGAAGATACAAAAGAAGCTTCTCAATGTTTTGATGGAATCCTATCCGGAATCTGATGAAGCTTTGAGTCTTGCTGTTGCAAATTGTGTTTCTGAATGGGGTCTCGAGGGAAAGTTGTTTTCCGTCACCTTCAACCATCTGGCGAGCAAAACCGCGGTTGAAAATATCAGACCTCTACTCTGCATCAAGAACCCTGGAATTCTGGATGGTCAGTTGGTAATAGGGAACTGTGTTGCCCAAACATTTAGTAGCCTCGCTAAAGATGTGCTGGATAAAGGAAAAGATGTGATCAAGAACATCCGGGACAGTGTGAAGCACGTGAAAACCTCAGAGTCCCATGAGGAGAGGTTTGTTGAGCTCAAGGAACAGCTTCAAGTTCCGAGCAATAAGGTTCTTTCTCTCGATGATCAGATGCAATGGAACACAACATATAAGATGCTCGTTGCTGCTTCAGAATTGAAGGAAGTGTTCTCTTGCCTAGACACTGCTGATCCTGACTACAAGCAATCACCTTCAGCAGAGGATTGGAGGCAGGTGGAAACACTATGCACATTCCTGAAGCCTCTTTTCGAAGCCGCCTCCACCCTTCAGTCTTCTGAAAACCCCTCTGCTGTTACGTTCTTCCATGAAGTGTGGAAGACACAGTCAGATATGTCTCGGGCGATAGCCGGTGAGGATCCTTATGTTGCAGGTATTGCTAGGACCATGAAAGAGAAGGTTGACAAGTACTGGAGAGACTGTAGCTTGGTTTTGGCGATGGCTGTGGTGATGGATCCTCGGTTTAAGATGAAGCTCGTCGAGTTCAGTTTCTCCAAGATATTTGGAGAAGATGCAGGGAGAAACATCAAGACCGTGGATGATGGGATCCACGAGCTCTTCAGCGAATACATGGCGCTCCCATCGCCCCTGAAACCGACATCCGAGGGCGGGAAAGCGGATGGGCTGTCAGATTTTGACACGTACATAATGGAGACAACGGGACAGAATCTGAAATCAGAGCTGGACCAGTACCTTGATGAAACGCTGCTTCCCCGGGTTCAGGAGTTTGATGTTCTTGACTGGTGGAAGCAGAACAAGCTGAAGTACCCAACATTGTCGAAGATGGCTAGAGACATCCTCTCGATCCCGGTCTCGGCTGCAGCTTTTGACTATGTCTTTGACATGGAACCGAGGGAGATGGATGAGTACAAGACGTCACTGAGGCCTGAGACAGTGGAGGCTCTGATTTGCGCGAGGGAATGGCTTCTTGAGAGTGATGCTTCTTCTTCATCTCCTTCTGCAGCTGCGCAGATGTCAAGTGCCACAGTCAAAACTGAAGCGTAGGTGGGACTTTGCTTCATTATCTCTAATTGCTGTTGTTTTCTAGATGTTATGTCTTTTGTGGTTAGTCTTAAAACCCACCGTGTGATTTGCGATTAGGAATTTGCTCTTTATGATATCTACTGCACATTTTAAGTCGCTTCTTTCTTCCTAGATCGGATCTACGTAGGTAGGGATCCTTAAATTCAATTAAACTAAAAGTCTCAATGAGACCGACCCCTTCCAATTCAAACAATTCTACAACCCAATAATCAGTAATCAAAACTCTACACAACATAAAGCGTTTGTAGGTGGCTTTTTAAGTCTGCCATCAAAGAAGCGGCTCGTTCTTCTTTCACTTATGATATAAGATCGAATTACACCTCTTTTATTCCACACGGTTTAAGAACACGGTTTAAGAACAACAGATTGAATGGATTATGAGTGACGGTAGAGATGAGATGAAATGATTTTTGATTGATTCCACAATCAGCACACAACCAAGATAACTTGATTCCACAAGCAATCTGAATCGAGATGGATCGAAGGCACCACAGAGAGTGTGAGGGGATCTCTGATACTGCAAGCTTGCTCAGCTCTAGGTGAATCCACACGAAGAACAGCATCAAAGAAGACTCGACAAGGCTGTGCTTGGAGACAAAGAAAATACGGCGTTTTTATTAATCATAAAAAAGATGAAAGAATACAAGGCTGCAAGGGAACCTTATATA